GTTGTTGTTGTTAGGTCACAGGCAACTCATAGTGACCCTATGAAGGAGAGTCCTCAACGCTTGGGTGTCTCTCATGCTCTCCCCAGGTTCACAGGGTTTTCGGAGGCAAGCTATTACGGGAGTAGATGCCACCCCTTCCAAGCTTGTTTTAAACTTTCAGATACTTTACAAAAATTACCTCCTGCACCACCTACTAGGACCCGCTTATTCAATTTTGCTCCATTTGCTTTATCTTTCTATCTCTAACCACCACCATTCTTTAATCCGTTTGTAAGGGTGGTTTCAGATAATTCATGACAGAATTCTTTTTCAGTTTGAATTTTTGTTGATGTCATGTGGTTTTAGTAGCAGAAGGCTTGATTAAGGGGAAAAAATACTAAATTCATAAGCATTTTGTTACAATCGTATGGAGTACACAGGCCCCAAGTGAATTCTGGTGGCAAGATGGGTGGGGTGAGGCTCAAGCTTCAGATTCACACAGTTATGCAGGTCCCTTGATGGCACATAACATCAAAAATAAAGAGCATGTTGAGTGTGCAAAGGCATTTGATTGTATGGATCATAACAAACTCTGGCCAGTATCAAGAACAATGGAAATTCCAGAATCTTAATTATGCTTATATGAAACCCATACCTAAGCCAAGAATTTGCAGTCCGGACAGAGTAAAGGAACAATGCATGGTTTAAAATGAAGAAAGGTGTATGTCAAGGGCTGTATTCTTTCTTCATAACTATCCAATATGTATGGTGAACAAATCATCAGAGAAGCTGAACTTTATGAAGAAGAATGTTGCACCAGGATTAGAAGAGTGTTTGTAAACCTTTCTTATTGAATGTGAGGACTTGAAACATTTGTTGCAGAAGATCAGTGACTACAATTTTCAATAGAGATTACATTTCAACATCAAGAAAACAAAAATCCTCACCAATATCAACAGATAACATCTTGATACATGGAAAAAATGTTGAATTTTTTTTAAAAAAGAGAAAAGTGAACTGGGCAGGGGAGGGAGGGAAGAAAATGTACAACAATGAATGAATGAATGAATGAATGAATGAATGAGAATCCAAGTTTTCAGCAAACTTTCATTAAAATATGAGTAAAAATAAAATTTGCCCAAAAAACCCCATCATCTTGCTTGGATTTACCATCAACAACCTTGGTACTAGAAGGCAGGAGATCAGCATTTAGAGAGTCTACTGTCAGGAATCTTTCCAAAGTCCTGAGGAGCAATGATGTCAGTTTAAAGCAAGACCAAGGTATACCTAATTGAAACCAAAGCCTTTCCAATCCTGCTACACATCTTGAAAGCTAGACAATGAATAAGGACACCCAAAGAAGAACTGATTTGAGTTGGGGTATTGGAGAAGAGTATTGAATATCCCATGGACCACCAAAAGAACAAATCTCTATCTTGGAGAACGTGCAGCCAGAGTGCTAGTTGGAGACAAGAAGGGTGAAGTGTCATCTCTCATATATTGGATATGTTCTTAGGAGAAACTATTCCTTGGAAAGCGATATCATGCTGGGAAAGGTGGCAAGTCAGCAAAGGACAGAAAGACCCTCAACACGGTGGATTAACACAGTGTCTGTGGCAATGAGTTTAAATACGTTGGGGCTGATGGGTTCAATCTGTTGTTCATAGGGTTGCTATAAGTCACACTCGACTAGACAGCAGATAACAACAAATGGCAAGTACACAATGTCCACAAATCCAATATTTGTGATCTGAAGACTACCTGTATATCATTTTCTTTCTGAATCATTTAAAAGTAGGTGGAAGACATCATAATTTTTTAACACTAAATAGTTAATTTTTCCCAGAACAAATATATATTTTATATAATCATAGTATGATTATCACAGACAAGGAATTTAAATTTAACATTGGTAAAAGGTTACTAACCATGGTCTGGAACTGTACAAACTTTGAAACACTAAAATTCCTTTTCTTCTCCAACTATTTTGACATCAAAGGATGAAATTTTTAACTTCATCATTATTATGTGCTATAAAGTAAAAAAAAGACTCAGGTTTTCAGAAGCAGAAAACTGCAGGGAAAGAGATCACCCATCTTTCATGTGTGTGTGTGTGTGTGTGTGTGTGTGTTTATACACACATATAATAATATATAAGAAATATAGGTATTAGTTTTCATTCTACTGTAAGAAAATACTTTCCTCCCTATTACTTATGCATATCAATATAGATTCAAAGGCTGTAATTTTATTAATAAAATATACATATTTAAATGTTTAAACAGTCCTGGATTATGTCCCGGGAACTCATTCAAGCTAGACCAGCTGATAAGGGCTATTTCAATCCTTGACAAGTATTATGCCCCTAACACTTAACAGACTTTTAGGATGCATTTACCTGGTAGCAAATACTTTTGTTCAGAGAAACATCTTGATTTTGTATAAAGTAATGCAAGCATAATATTTATTAATGTGGATATCAACAGATTAATTTGTCACTTACAGTGCTGAGATTAACAATTTAATACACTGAGGAGAGGGGGGAAAGGCTATTAATCCCATAGTGAAAGAACTAGCAATGAGCAACCAGTAGGAAACGACAGTATTACAACAATTGTTACTAATATAAATCAAAGCTTTTCAGGATGAAAATAGGCATTAATTTGTTTTTTAAATAATGAAATGTTTCTAGATCAATGAAAAGATGCTGGTATTTCAGTTGGGAGTCCTTTTTTTTTAAAAAAAATCCTCTGAACATCCTTTTACTTTTTATGAGCCCAATTATTTTTTATGTATCTGCATATAATCATTCATATGCACTGTGTTTTGAACATGTAACTTTATGGTTTGTTTGTTTGTTTGTTTGTTTTTAAAAGTTTTTCTTTTGTATTGCTTTGCTTACAAAGTTTGTATTACATTGTTTGACACTCTCCTGCATTCACACTGTGTTTCATATAGTCATTCTGATTCATTATGTTTTATAAAATTAATCAACACTAAAAACTATGGCCACCATTTTCCCGTACTCTGTGTTTTATAAAATTATTCATATATATTTTATATAATGACCTTTACTCTATGCCTTTTATCACCCATGTTTTCAAGCCTTCATTGAGACTTCCATTATTTCACTCCTCTCCACCACTAACCTCTGCAATCCCAGTGACTTTCCCCATCATATTTTCCTGGCTCTTTCCTTTCCTTTCTGAACTTACAGATATCTTATTCAATTATCCTCTTATTTTCACAACAGTGGCCTTATGCAGTATTTGTCCTTATGCAACTGAGATATATCACTCAGGAAAATTCTCACTAGACTCACCTATGTCATTTGGATTTTACAAAATCATTTCTCCATAGTGCTGCAGAATATTCCATTGTATGAATATACAACATTTAAATCCATTCGTTAATGAACATTTGGGTATCCATTTTCTTGCCATTGTGCATAATAATGCTGCTATGAATATAGGTGTACAAATGTCCATTCATCTCTCAGTTCTGACTTCCTTGGATATATTCCTAGCAGTGGAAGAGCTGAGTCATATGGGATTTCTACATTCAGTTTTTGAGGAAACGTCAAACTGCCTTCCATAGCAGTTGTCCTATTTTAGTCATAAAGAAGCTAGTAGCCGTAGTCTTTGGGAGCTCTAGTGGCTTAGTGGTAAGGAAGTCTGTTGCCATGTTGCAAAGTACACAGAATCCACCAGCTGCTTCACGGGAGAAAGAAGGGCAATCTCCTCCCCGGTGATTTACTGTATCTAAAAATTCACCAGAGGATCAGCTATGACTCAAGACTACACAGCAGCTTCAGCATACAATTTAGGACTTTATTTTTCTATGACAGATAGGTGCCATCAACATTATTCCAAGCTGTCAGGTATAGTTAACATTAGTTGGAGCCTCTTTCTTTAAAAAATTATGTGTGTATGTATGTATGTATGTATGTATGTATGTATGTATGTATGTATGTATGTATTCTTTTTATGTGTGTAACGTCAAATTGGATCTGACTGGTACAGGAGGCGATTGTTCCTCCTTCTTCAGCAGAGCATCTGGTGGATTTGAACTGCGCACCTCTGGGTAGTTGGAGCCTCTTTATTAAATAAATGCTTGCTCTAGATTTAAGATTTGTGTATCTTCCCCACAAAAGTGATAAATAATTTCTGTATTAAAGATGATTCAACACTTAAAGCTGCTAAATTTTCTTTTCTCCAAACAGAAGACTTTCTATATAATTCTGAGAGAACACCACCTTTAATATTTGATTCTTACAACTGGATTTTCATGTAGAATACGTTCAATGCTCCTCATGCCTCCTCCATCATTACCTGTCTGATGTGGTCACTTCCTGGATCTCCAGGGATGAGAGGCCTTTTCCTGTTCTCCTCCCCATCTTCCTCCTCTAATTAGACTTGAGGCTGAAAACAGGAGGATTAACCCTCTCATGACCATGCTGATATTTCTCAAATCAAAATAGGCATTTATGCCTTTAGCAGGAGATGGGTTCTCAAACAGTCAAGGACTGTCTTGCAGTTACTAACATAAGTAGTCACTAGTTAGCTATTTAAAATCTTCACTTGAATGGAACACAAGGAGCCCTGGTGGCATCACAGGTTAAAGGCGGTGTTGCTAAATAAATGCTTGTCAGTTTGAATCCATCAGCTGCTCCAAGGAAGGAACTAAAGGCACTCTCCTCCCCTTAAGATTTACAGCCTTCGAAACCCAATGCACATCCCCACAACTGCAATGAGTCTGGTTTTAGTACAACTAAAACATAAGTTCCAGATACAGTGATCACTAGAGGAGATACATTTAATAAAGGCAAAACAAGGGTGAGAAACAAAACCTTTCATTCCCTTCAAAGTACAACACATGAAATTATCCAGACAGTATTTTCAGCATTACTAACAATAGTTACTATATTTCAAAATCTATTCAAGTCAACTACTTTGTGAGTTATAGCTTCAATTTTTTTTCTGTGATAACTAATCCAATGAACGAAAAAACACTAGACATACCCTGAGTGGCAGTCGGAGGTAGTTTGAGGGTATTGTCTAACTTCTCCCAAAGGTAAGTTGGACGAGGAATGCCTTCTTCTGAGCTACAGAGCAGAATGACATCACTACCAATATCCTGGGATCCTTGAATTTGACAGTGTGGGGCAGAAGGGGGAACTAGAACAGGAAAAGTAAACAAAGTACACATTTACTGTCAATACATGTTGCCGCAAATGATGGCTATAGCAAAAAGAAAATGTGTTTCTAAGCACGGTTGCCAATTTAAAAGTGTGCAACAACCTGTTTTAACAATCAAGACACTGAACTCATGGATAGCATTTTGGGAGGAAAGAACACACACTAGGAGGCTCTCTCTCCCATGGAGACAGCTGGAGCCCAGGTGCAGGGGCTACACTTTTGAGTTAGTAAGGGGACTAGGGAAAAGTAAAAAACTTTTCACTATCTTTTCAAAATATGGTCTGGGTTTCACTGGTTCCAAAGAATCATTACCACTCCCAATGTCAGCATATTGCCTGTAAAAATAGAGGTCATTTTTTGAGACACTATTATGGAACAGAAATCACTCATCCTGCAAGCTACTATGTAGCAAAAGCTTCCTTAATAATATGTTTTGCTACTTTGAAAACAAAAACAAGACAGGGTTACACCATAAAAAGGTGCTTTATGGCTGGAAAAAGAGCGAAATTTAAGTATATTTACTGAAAGTAATAAAATAGGCATCAATATTCACTGAATTGAATATACTTGAATTGAGAATAGAGAGGACAAAAAAGAGGTTATCAGGAGAGAGTGTCGAACGAGGGGCAGAAGTGAGCAAGTTTGGGAGTAGCTTCTTATGAAAGCCCAAGGTTGCTGAAGCATTTCCTGCAACTCACCTAACACTGTGAGACCAGTGACCCCAATGTTCCTGCCCCCTCTGTCTGGCAAATTGTTGACCAAACACTGGTAGGTGCCTGTGTCCGACAGCTGAGTATTATTGATGAAGATGGAGACATTGGTGGTGGGCATAGTGCCTGCAAACCCCACCCTGCCATGGAACCGGGCGGCACCGTCAAACATCTGTCCGCCCTGATAGAGAATGACCTGCAAGAGAAAGCAAAATAAACAACTGGATGCTGTTCATCCTTTTGGACATTTCAGTGATAATAGGACAAACGCACAGTGGTTCAGTCAGGACCTAGAGCTGACCTTCCATTGAGTTTAGAGGCTGCAGACTGCACACTGAGCAGACTGTCCATCTCAGTCCTGAGGGGCTGTCAATGGATTCAAACTGGCAAAGAGGCATGGCCTTCGGGTTAGCAGTAGAACTTGCAATGGAGTGCATCATTACAGCTCCCCAGTGAGCTGCAGGGAGTTCTGGTGACTTATAGGATAAGTCCTCTCATACGATTTACTGTCTCTGAAAAGTGCTGAAGGGTCAGCTATAAGTCGACTCTAACTTAAAGGCTCATAACAAGAAGACCAGAAGATTGCAGCAAATGTTGGAAAACTAAATTAGTATCTGAAAATTTAATTACTAATCTTAGGGCTATCAGCAGCTTTTTTATAGAACTCATTATCTGCAGGTATCCCAGGGTTTTAAATTTGCCCACACCAAACTGAAATAATATTGTTTCTTTGACTCCTCGGAATGTAGCAAATGTCTTTCATTCTACCCTACCACCAGCTTCAAAATATTTTTACCAGTCCAAATAATTCTAAAAAAAAATAATAATAAAACATTAGTGCTGTTCTTTCTGTGTTTACTAGGTCAGAAAACATAAGATCACAATTATAGACTATAAAGAAATAAATAGCATAAAAAGGAAGAAGTGTGACAAGTCCCTAATTGCTATTCTGAATGTAAATTTACATTACCAGAGTTAACTGTCAATGTGGGAGACCTCAGAATTGTGCAGTAAAAAGCCTTTTGGACTGAAAGTAAGGGATTTAGTTCTTTTCAAGGTCTATTTGTAAATGTTTTCTTTGCCTTTTTGCTTGCTCACTCCTAAAACAGTGAAGGGGAACAAAAGGATCTTGAGATGACAAGACTAACCATAAATATTCCATGATTTCACAAAATAAAAGAACATTTTATCAAATATATTTATTTGGATTTTCTACTAGCAAATTTAGCTTGTCAGTAATATACTAAAATTTAGTAAGCACTAATAAACTTTTTGAAGCAGAAAAACGTCCAGATGATTTTGTATTTTGGAATAATCATGAAGCAGTTATGATCACAAGTCATTCATTTTCTGAGTGTTCTTTTCTGCTGTGAGTATTACAAAGCACAGCTCTTTCACAGCTTGTTGGGGTGGAGTGTCTGTTTCCACATACTCTCTTTCCTGTGGGCAATTGAATTCACTTGAAACTTGGCCGTTGACTAGGATTTCTTACCATGCTTGGTTTGAAAAACACTTTTGAAGTTAATTAAACATAGACACTATTATTTCAAGTTATTTCCTTAATATTGTCACTGTTTCTTAAAAAGTACTCCTCATTTGCCCATCAGTACTAGTTCCTTCATAGAAAGCACAGTTTGTTTTTCTGGTTGATATTTTCTGTTGGTAATAAATTTTCTGACTATTTTGTGGTTTAAGCCTGGAGGGTCCCTGTTTGTAAGGTGAGCCCCTCGTCTCTTTGGTGGCTGGGTGACAGGGCAGGAATATGTAAGAGAAACGAGCTTGTTCTGGTTGGGGGTTGGGTGGAACATCTGGTTGTTGTATGATTTAAGCCTTTTGTGTAGTGTCAACAAGATATCCTGGAGGGCCCTTGGGCCTCATGTTATTATAATTTGGAGGAACATTCTTCTTAAGTCATACAGCACTCTTCAGACAATTTGCTGTACTGAGGTAATCTGGGTTTGCTGAGATGCTGAAACCTGTGCCATTGGGTGTCAAACGCCACAGCTCCCAGTTTAAGAGAGGTTTTGAAGCAGGAGTGGCATCCACTTCTAAACCACATGCCTCTGAAAACTCTATGAACTTAGAGAAATGACATTAGTTACAGATTCATGCCTTTTGTTCATAAGGTCGCTATGAGTCATGCTCGACTCAATGGCAATCAACAACAACACTTTTTAATACAATTCTAGATTTTTATACAAAAATCTCTCCAACTTATCTTTACTATTTAATTTTAAAAGCTCCTCCCAAGAAAACTCCCAAAAGCAATCCCTTGACACATGTACATGAGAGTTAATGCAAAGGGTGAGTGTTTAAAACAGCATAGGCACACCACAAATGCTACTTAATTCTATAAATAAATATTTACTCCGGCTGCTTTCCTGTTCATCTCCACAGAAAGTATTCATATTGCTGACAGAGCACAGGAGAGACGTGTATGCCATGGGACTGAAGTACCTGTTCAGGCTGGTTAGCATTGGAGAGTGGAATGACCATCCAAATGACATTGAGGTTAATGAGGGCAGCGCTGGTGGTAAAGGTGCAGGGAAGGATTGCTGTCTGACCCCGGGCCACTTGGACACTCCCAGGATTCTCCGAGACTTCTAGGGAAGCTGCAAAGCCTGCAGAAGAAGGAAAAGGAAGGTTATATGTTCACCCTCTCCAAATAGTTTAAGCCCCGTCAGAAATTATTTGTATTTTATATTATTGTTACTATGAAAAGACATAGCAGGGAGATCTGGTGGCCTAGTGGCAAGAAGCTGTGCTGCAATCCGGATGGTGCACGGTTCAAACTACCAGATGTTCTGCTGGAAAAGGAGGGGCAATTTCCTCCTGTGCCAGTTGGATCTGATTTGATGGTAAACAAAAAGAAAAACAAAACAAAAAACAAAACCAAAAAAGACATAGCCGTTTTACTAAACTATTGATCAATCTCTGAATCAAAATTCTAAAATCAGTTCATCCTTTACCTCACCAGAATGATAACCAAAACATATCAAATACTAGTACAAATCATTTGACACTAATACAAACCACATACAAATACTAATACTATAATAACATTACAAGCCTTTGGTTAGACTAAAGTGCTACTTAGAAGTTAACTAATAAGATTTTAGGAAAAGCTGGATGATGATGAAAGATGAGAAGCACAATTTTAAAAACATTGTTTACAATAACACACTCCAAAATCAAGATCTATATGCTGAAAATTATAAAATGTTGCCATCAAGTAAGACTATAAAATGAACATATGTAATGTTTAAGAACTGGAAGTTTCAGTATTACTGAGATGTCAATTCCCCATAAATTAATCAATATGCTAAACAAGAATCCCAATTAAAATCTGAGCAGGTTCTCCAGATATTATCAACCTAATTCCAAATTTCTATGAAAAGACAAAGAGTTACAATAGTTAAAAAAAAAAAATTAAAGTTGGAAAATTCACACAGTCTGGTTTCTTTTTTCTTTTTTTTTATTATATTTTATTAATTTTCATAAACATTTACAGATATTTTGGGTTTCCATTCATTCATTGTTACACTATTCTCTCTACCCTCCTCCCAGTTTGTTCTTGTCCAAATGCCACAGTGCTTGTCAAAGCCAGTTCTGATTAATCTCCTTTGTCAGTGTGTCCTTTGCCATTCCCTATCACTCCTCCCTGAGAGAGACTTCACCCTGAGTCATAAGGAAAAACAGTCTGGTTTCAAAACTCGCTGTAAAGTTATAATAATGAAGACAGTGTGGACTCGTGCAAAGATATTTGTATAATAGCTAAGTGGCATAAGCTTGAAAACATTGAAGCAAATTTTGTTAGCTCAAAACTTTATTGTGTGAAACTGTAGGATATCAGAACAATCGGTAGAAAAGGCCTGAAGAGAGTGGTAGGATTTGACCTGGGCCTTAAGAAATGAACTGATCTCTAGGAAAAGTGAAGAGGCATCCCAGGAGGGAAACACAGCATAAAAAACTGAAGGTGAATAAACAGAACAAACTAAGGATTAATTATTCAGAGTCAAGCATTGTTAAAACAGCCCCTTTAAGAAATTGTTTTTATTGGTTTGCATACACACAAGTGTCAAAACAGTCTCAAGCTCTTTTTCTCTAGAATTGCTGTACTTTTATTTTAGTGACATTTCATATTCCTACCTGGCTTTCACTCATGCACGCCTATTTTCTTCCCTCCTCCTCCTCCAAATCCCTTTGAAATGCTTCCATCCAGTCCAGGCTATTCATTGTCATACACACACTGTCTAATTGCTCTTTCTTTCAGATTGCCCTTCCTTTCAACCTCGGCATAAACTCTTAGGTTTATGATCAAGTGTTTCTTAACAAAAGCACAAGGCAAATGATATGAAGAAAAAAGTACAAATTCAGCAAATGATATCAGGACAGTCAAATATTAACTTGTAAATTAAATAAATAATTACTTCATAATATATTGAAAAGGTCAACTCAAAATATGTCACAAAAACCAGGGAACTCTGGTGGTCTAGGGGCAAGAAGCTCTGTGCTGCAATCCCAAAAGTGCAGGGTTCGAATCCACCAGATGCTTTGGGTAAAAGTATGGGTCTCCTCCTTTGTCGGTCATATCTGACTTGCCAGAACACAACAAGAAAAAAAAATCACAAAAACCAACTCAAGGTGGATTAAGGACCTAGAAGTAAAAGCCAAGACTAGAAAATTCATCATTGAAAAGCTTAGAAGAACTGTAGAAGCCCTAATCCACAGCATGAACAGTCTTCCAAGCATATGAAAAACCTACAACTAGGAGACATTAAAATAGATTAATAAGACCTTCTAAGAATCAAATTTCTATGCACATCATAAAACTTCTCCAACAGGGTAAGAAGGAAATCCAATGGGGAAAAACATACATGGCAATAACATATCTGATAAGGGACTTCTACAAAATTTATAGAATACTTCTGTACCTCAACAAGTAAAAAGTTAACAACCCAATCACACACATGAAGAAATGTTCAAAATCCCTAGCTATCAGAGAGGAGCAAATCCAAGCCACTTTAAGATATCATCTCACCCTGGTAACCACAGTTCAAAAGGATGGCAAACAAAAAATCCTCGCAAGGTTGTGGAGAGATTGGAATGCTTACTCACTGCTGGTGGGAATGTAAAATACTACAGCCACTATGAAAGGCAGTCTGGCACTTTCTCAAAAAGTTAGAAATATAATTTGATCCAGCAATTCAACTACTGGGAATATACCCTAAAGAAACCACAGCCATGACACAAATAGATGTATACACACCTATGTCTAATGCTACATTATCCACAGTAACAAAGAGATGGAAGCAACCCAAGTGCCCATCATCAAACAATGGAAAGAAACACTACAGTACATTCAAACAATGGAATACTACACAGCACTGAAAAAACAATGAACTTGTAAAATCTTACACAACATGGGGGAGCCTGAAGGATATTATGCTGAGTGAACTATCTCAGTCACAAAAGGACAAATACTACATAGCCCCACTGTTAAAAAATTGGGCAGACATGGGAAGTTTGGGGAAAGAATGAGAAAACAGTGGGTAAATGAACACTGCATTAGAGCAGGTAAGGGGAATGTCATAAAGGAATATATGATTATGCATTATATATATAAGAACAATCTGGAACAAGGGGTGTACTGCAGGGTGGGCTTGGGGAGGGAGGACAATGTGCAATGTTGATTAAAAAATAATAAAATAAAAAAATTAAAAAATAAAAAAATAATAAAATGTATCACAGACTTAAAACATATGAGCTAAAATGGTGAAAATTCTAGAAGCAAACACTGGACAAAAATCTATGTAGATTAGTCAAAGATATATCATAAAAGCCATCAATCATAAAGGAAAACAAACTAAAAACCATATATCATTTTAAAAAAATACGCAAATTTCTGTACTTTAAAAGAATTTATTAAGGAAATAAAAAGCCAAGATATGGAATGAAAGACAAAACAAGTATGTACTACTGTCCATGACACGTTCTGTGATACCGAGAATTATGCCATGTGGACATTATATGAACACACATTATACAGAGGCAGTTTCGTACAATTCATGGTTAAATGTCTACAAAACGCTGATAATGAATAATGTACACACGTAACTAATACAACTCAATAGTTAATCCAATTTAAGAGTGGACAAAATATTAGAAGAGACATTTCACTAGAGAAGACATACAAACTGCCAAATAATCACAACTTATTCATCAGAAAAATAAAAATTAAAACACACCACTATCAATCTAGTACATATATGGTTGAGAAAAAAACCAAGAACTGGTGAGGGTTTGGAGAAATGGGAATCTCATGTACTTCTGGCAGGAATGTAAAATGTTATCACCACTTCAGAAAACAGTTCCACCGTTTTCACAACCTAATGAAATACCTCAACAATCCCACTCCTAAGAATCTACTCAAGTAAAACAAAAACAGGTTATCAAAAGACATAAAAACATGTTATCTAAAAACATGTGATAAAAGCAAATGACTTGTGGGTAAATATTCATACTAGGACTAACTCTATCATGGCCCAAGTGAAAATAATATACCTATCCATAAGCTACTGAAGGGAAAGATAAAATGTGACATATCCACAACTGGAATACAATTTAGAAAGCAAAAAGCAACAAACTGATGCATGAAACAATATAGATGCTGAATACTGAAAAAACCTAACTAAATCCTGTCTGAGCTGTCGTCCAGGGCAGCAGGAACTACATTCTTGACTTGGTACTCTGTCTCACTCACCCACTAGGCTGACACAAGTTCCTTATGGGACCAAGTACCTTCTTGGTAGGCAGGTTCTCCCTTCAGCACACAGCAGCTTCACGCCTTGTCACTTTCTGAGTCATTAGGAAATCCTTCTTGAACCAGGTATCCTTCCCCTTGCTGTCTTCACAGCTAGCAGGACCACCACCTAGGTGCCCTGGCACTCCATTTTTCTCCTCTTTTTTCCTTGTTTATGTTAGTTTTCTTTTTTAAATTCTTATCATCCCTTTTCCCCTTTCCTTTTATTTTTTTCTTACTATGCATATTTTCTCCCTTTAGTGACTTCCCCTCACCTTCTTTTTTAAATCCCTCCCACTCTTTAATTTGTTGTTGTTGTTGTTAAGTTTAATGTTATTTTTGCTAACTGGTCTTCTTTTAAAAAAAGAAAAATGCACTATTTTTCTTTTTTCAAAATCCCACTCAGCTGAAGACAGCAACTGAGCCCACTGCTCCACCACATCTAAACATCCTGCAACCTAAACTCACTCACTGGATAAAGGTGATCACCCACTCCTGCACCAGCAGATCAGCGAGAGTCAGCAGTGACCACCAGCCCAATGTGCCCTCCACTGCTCTGCATGAACAGCAAACCTCACACTGTACATAGACTTCCAGGCCCATGACACCCTTCAAGAGAAGGGTGAGGGTGTGAGTGTCTAAGAGACTGCCAAACTGGTGAGCAGAATAGCACGTTCACTCAGATAGATCAAATATATTTAAAAAATGAAGGAAAAGAAACTCTAAGAAGCACATCAACATACAACTACACATAAATACAATAAACAAAGAGAAGGCCTCAGAAACAAACAATTTCAATTAATATAAAGAAACAAAGCAA